AATCTCAAATTCAGATAAATTTACTTGAAATTAGAGCGAGCACCTTTACGAAAGTCACTCCTTCACACTTTAGCTTTTCCACCACCGCGCTTCATACACCTGGAAAAAGAAAAAAATTCCCTCCCTCAAGTAAAGGAATACAAACTCTCAAACTGCAGGAAAGGAAAAAAAGAAAAAAAATGCCTACCACCAAAACCCCAATCAATGGCTACAAACGCCGAGCCCTCGAAGCCGTAATGACAAGAGCTTACAACACCGCAGCCTCGTGCCGTCAAAACATCAACGAAGTATCCATATCGCTGGTCCGCAAACTCAACGCGGGACGAATCCGACACCTATACGCGATGGAAACCCTCAAGGTGGGTAAAGGCACGATGCTAGACCGTATCCTCCTCATCCAAGATTGCGCCGAGGACCTCGTGAGGTTGGACACCAGACGGTACTCTGGGGAAGCGAGGGAGCTAAGAGCTAAAGCGGGCCTTTTGGTGAAGGGACCGCTTCGGTTCGTCTCCGAGGGACTAAATGAGGAGGAACTGAGATTTCGGGAATGGGAGGAGGCTGCTCTGAAGCTTTTGGACAATCTGGCCAAGGAGGCGGAGGAGTTGAGGGAGTATTTAGTGGAGCTTTCAGGCCAGGCTCAGGCTATGGGGGTCCATATCACCTGGTGGGGGAACCCCCAGGACAGTGAGGCCAAAGTTGAGCACTTGGAGGATGGAGAGGTCTTGGAGCTCTAACTTTTATCCCGGGGCTGGTCTAACCCCACCGTTCCCACCTATTCCCGGTGGCAGTGGCGGGCAAAACTATTCCCCATCCCCACCCCAAGCCCCCTCCCCATTTCCCTAACATTTATAGCTCCCCCGCAAGGATCGGCCGCGGTATTTAAATAGCTCTACAGACATTACACATTACCCACGAGTAGTTTTAAAATTCATTCCTTTCTTGATTGCTCTTGCTGCTACTACGATAATACCAGCTCAATCAAATCACTTCAGATCCAAACATGGTGAGAAAGAAACCGCCCAAAAGGATTGCCAAAACCTATCTCAAATATCTCTAGTATGGTATGATATATCCCGAGAGCAGTTCCTGAGACGACGACCTCAGATATGACCCGACCGGAGTGTCGAAAAGCCCGCTTCCTCCCAACAACCCGAATCCACCTCACAAATAAAAAAGCCCCGAGTCTGTCTGAGATGTGTACTGTAGAGTAGAGTTAGGGTACCCTCCAAACACACATCCACCTCTAACGGGACCACACCACCCAGGACCGCTAAAGTTGATCTGCAACGTCGCATATGACAATATGAAACGGAAATTACCAATTTCCCACCGTTCGGTTTCCGGGAAACATGTTTGAATCAACGATTGAATCAACGATCAAACCTTTCGTCGAAACCCTTTCTTCACCTCAGAACATCTTGAACAAAATTTTACTAGTAGCACCCAATGCAACGGAATCCTTCTCAAATTCCCACCTCCAACACTAACAACAATTTGAAGCCGTCTTTGAATGATTTCTGCATGCATGGATGGATGGAATTATTGTCGGCTTGAGTCACCATTGGATGGTCGGAGCATAGGAATCGGAAACCAAAGATGGTTCAGTCATAATACTGTTCTATCATGAAGGAATTATTCTACTAGACGATATTTGTAATGTTCACTCAAGATTTTCATGTGACGTTACTACATGGCAACTGTACTATTATGGCCGTATTGAAACGAACGGTTGATGCCCTGCACGTTCTGCCAAACAGCTAAATTATTCTATTCATTCCCCTTTTGTAACTTAATTTAAAAGGGAAATGGTCAGCTGTGTGGGACGACGGAACTGAACCACCCATCGCAACCAAACAGGCCTCCCCCGGTGTAGGTCACCAAATTGCTCAATCCCCGAGAAGGCTCCATGAAAGCCATCGCAAGCAGCCTCATCGCAGAGTATACATATCATACCATTCACCAGAGGTCCCCCGTTGAAAAGCCCGGCCGGCCCTTTCAGAACGGTCGATCACTCCCCGATATACCTAGCATAGGCGGTGTGATACTCCCAACCTGGCAATATCATACCCACAGCTCACTCACCACAGCAGACCCAGCGCACAATAACCGTCGACTTGAAAACCCCCTCACTTCTGGTAACGCTTGGTCCGCCCCTCCTCGCTATATCACCATACCAGACATCGCTGAAGGTACGTGAGTGAGAAGTTGTGATGGGGAAAATACTTGTAGGTTCTCGGCCAGGCATCGCGTCAAAAAGTGATCTGATTGCATGATAGCTAGCGAGCAGGGTTTTAAAGAACTGAGCTTCCGGGGGAGGGGGGGGGTAAGTTTGCCAGACCCTACACGTTCTGAGGAAGCGTGGGTATGCTCTCCGCTTTTACCCTGGTTTTAACAATAGGAAAGCGATTGTCGAATTACGAGAGTGTTAGGAGATTGTTCCCGGTAGGATGAATTCAGCAGTACGATACAGTGCACACCATCCAGGGGATATAAATCAACGAATCAGATACAAGCAAGATGCACATCGAACCTCAGCAGATCTATCTACGCCCAAAAGTCACCACAAAGGAATAATCAAAAACCCCCACCCAGAAAGCAACCTCAGCTCCAACGCTTCAATCATCACACCACATCACAGCCATGCAAATCCCTCCCCTCCAACCCTTACAACCGACGACAGGCAGAAAATGTTCCACCAGCAATCCCCAGCCCCCCTCACTTAAACCCCATACAATATCGAATCCGGATGGATATGCGATATATAAAAATGTATGCGGGAAACCATCTTCCCGAAAGCTGTTTGCGAAAGAACCCCCGTGGCCTAGCGTGATATCATAACAATTCCTACATCCTCATACCCCATCGCGGTGCGAATTCTCAAAAGTCTATCATACTAGGTACAAGGTAGCAAACCCGATCAGGAACGGGTCTCAAGAGTCTAGCAGCCGGGAAGAGGGTGTGATGATAACTAGCTGTTGTTGGGGCGTTGTTGGATGGAAGCGGGGTATCGAGATGAGTATTATAATTATGATACGAAGCGCGCCCACACAAAGATATACGGTTTCCCAAGGAATTCCACGTATATTTTAATAAGAGGGAGGCATCTAGCAGTGTATGATACGACATCGGACCTCGTCGCCCGCCTTTCTATCATACCCATCACAATTTTTTGTCCCTCCCTCCCCCATCAACCGTTTCGTATAATAGTACGTAATCCTCAACCCGACAGGACTCCTATAATACCACGGATATGACACGATATGATACAATACTAATCCCATCCCATGAACCGTATAGTTCGTGCACTTCAAAACGTATACCAGAAAATTAGTGATTTTCAAAACTCTGTTGCATAAACAACCACCAACGTAATTGAAAAACAAAAACCCAGGCATTCTTCTCAACCATCTTCTACTTAATGCCTGGGTTTTTTATTTTCAAATACTCGGAGGGGTCATTAAAAAATGGAAAGATCGCAATCCTTGCCGAGTTAAGATAGCATGGAGAAGTTCAGAAAACTTGGAAAGTAGTAGCAGGGATTACCTTTGGTAAACCCGTAGGTAAAAAACAAAAAAGAATCGATGATGCTGAGTAGAGTAAGAGGCTTGCGAGTAGCTGAAGGATGAGGTCAGTGATAATCCTCCACCAAAATCTTGATTTTCAAGCGGAATTATAATAGAGAAAATATAGTGAGAATAGCAGATAAGAAGGCCAAGTAAGAACAAAGATAGTTTTGAATCTGCACTTCCAACTCTATTGCGGTAGGGCCTAAGTGAGTTGAACCTCTATTTTCTCCAATCTTAGTTCATATTTTGCTACAAACTATGACCGGTACTTTAAGTCAAGAGATTCCAATGGCAAGTAGCTCAGAGGATGCATTCCAGGATATGACCTTTGATGGGTATATTCAATGGCATCAGTGAAACATCCTCGATCACCCTGCAGAATTAGGAAGCAGCAAGTCCTCTAGAACGATTAGTCCTTCTCTACCAGTGTTTAATCAACAGCACTCAAAATGTTCAGAATCACCAACAGAAATTGATTCAATTCCCTCCAAATCTGCTCCTATCTCAGAAAGTATTCGCCCAAGTCTTCAGATGCGGGAGGCCATTTATGCACTCTATGTTTATGCAGATTGGATTTATCTAAAGTTACATGAGGTCTTTAGGGTCTCCCTAGGATCGCTCCACTATATTGTTCACAAATGTACTCATCAAAAAGGGACTGTATCTAGTCGGAATAACCGAGGGTGACCACAAATTGCAAATAGTAGTATTATACAACACTTGATTGAGATAGCCACAGCAAGTGCCTACCACAGACGGCTTCCTTACCGACGAATTGCAGAACTGGTAGGGGTATGACTTAGCCTGGCAACTCTTAAGAAAACCTTTGAGGCGGTAGGCTATCACCATCAGGTTGCCAGGATCAAGCCTTTTCTCTCAGCCTCTGCAAAAGAGAAACAACTAGCATGGAAGCAGTGCTTCCATGACTAGACTGAAAAGTATTTTTCAATTTTTTTATTAGATGTTTTAATTGTTTAAGAATATAACTAATTAGATATAAAGTGATTGGTCAGATGTTATATGGTCCGATGAGTGTACTTTTTCAGTGGGTGATATATGTGGGACTACCTGGGTTACATGGAAGACAAGAGAAGAGTATAAAGAAAACTGTTTAGTTCCTCACTTTGCTCGGCAAACTACTATAATGGTATGGGGAGCAATTTACAGAGACCAAAAGGGACCGCTTGTTATATGGGATACACCAAGTTGGGGGCGTATTAATGGTTCTACTTATGTAGAAAATATTCTCCTCCCTCATGTATATCCATGGTGGCATACACTTCATCATACTGGTAATAGGGGTTTTTTTTTTCTCGAAGCTAATTATTATTTTTCCTATTTCTAATATTATTGAATTAATCTACAGGTAGTACTACCTCTGAATATATCTACTTCCAGCAAGACAACACACCTGCTCATCGTTCTCGCTGAGCCTTACAAGCTATAGAAGAGCTAGGAATAGCTGACTACCTCTTTCCATGGCCGGCCTCATTACCAGACATGAGTCCTATTGAGGCTATTTGGTGTTTACTGAAGTGGCGTATCTCCAGCTGTAATCCCCGCCCAACAACTGTCTCTGACCTCAAAGCTGCTATCTTGGCTGAATGGGATCTCATCACCCCTGCCGAGGTTGCCCGCCACACAACCTCCATGCCTCACCAGGTTACTGATCTTGTTAGTGCTAATGGTGGGCATACCTCTTGGTGATATTCATATGATTGATTTATATTTTTCTTCCGTATTCTTTCTGTTTGCTTTTGCTATTGCCTCCACCCCCCTCCCTTACTTTTTTTTTTTCCACTTGCTTTTTTTTCTTCTATTCTTCTCCCGTTCCCCTTCTGTACTTCTTCTGTTTTCCCCCTACCATTTCCTATCCTGAGTCTATGCTATTCCCCCTTTCCAGTTACATGTATTTACACCTTAGTCCCAGATTCTTCTTTTCTTTATTTTTTATTCTACAGGTTTTGTTTTTTTTTTTTTTTTTTTTTTTTTAGTATATCTTTCATAGTTGAGTGTGAACTGAAAGACCCCAGAGCATCCAATTCCCATTTCACCATTACTTATGTCCTCTAGTATCAACTTTTTCTACCCCCCACACTCCCATATCCTTATCCTCACCAGCCCCGCTTACCAAAATTATTCTTATCAAATGTATTCTTACTCCAATTGCACTTGCTAACTCAATTCAACCTCTGTCCTTTCCTTTTCTACTCTTGCTCACTCTAGATCATCAAGAAATACCAAACTGTGAGTGTATGTGAGAGTACTGTAAAAGCTCAGTAAATCCACAATTGGTAGTTGGAGTACTAAACCGCAATCAGTTCAGGCTTAACAAAGCAGTTAATAAAATTGCAAATTTCAAGTAATGAGATCCAGTGGCTATGCTCTTCATTCTAGAAATTTGTTGCCTAATAACTAACACCTCTCTGCAACTACTATTGGTTTCTAATATCCTGTAACACTGTTGCCTTTCCAGACATTGTGATTGCCCAATTTCCACAATCCCTGCTTTGCTACTGCTAGTTCCCATTTTTTAATGACCCCTCCGAGTACAATAGCAGTTGTTAGTACAACAGGATTTGAAAAAGTTGTATTTTTAGTATAAATGCTGAAAATGTGTCACATTAGCCACACTTGGAAATGCTTAATAATCATAAAACCCCTAACTTAGGAAATGGGGTTTTTAGTTTCTTCAAGTTTCTGCCATCTGTTGAGCATAAATCCAAAAGTAACTATAATATCAATAATATATTAGAGCTAGAGTGGTAAATGATGGAATGATAAGAAACCATATTTGAATAAATTTCACACTTCCTATAACTGGGAAGATGAATTCCACTTTATTATTTTATTATAATTGAAAAAAAATGTAATCAGAATAATTAAAACCTCTTGGACAGAGACCTAATTTTCTTACTTATTGTGTCATACTGGGAATTAGGTCTTGGTAGCTAATTTTGCACAGCCACATGTGACACATTTTTTTTCAGCCTCATATACATTTTGAAGTGCACGAACCATACCCCCCCAATCCCCGCCACAAAAGGTAACGTGTGAATCTCCATCTCCTCTGTCATACCTCCACTGAGGAGGGTTCTCACCATACACTGAGGAGAAACCGCATCATAATAATAACCACAACACTATCAGGAGCGGAAGTCATAATGACCAATGAAAGTGGGAGATCTGTTACCATACGATACATGTTGGCATGTTCTAAAAAGAAAAGAAAAAAAAAACCCCCCTTTTTTTATTGCTATTATTATCATTACGAGCATCACAGTATGATAGATAGGTGTATTCAATCACACTATACAATCCTCAGTGAGAAAATTTAAAAAAATATAAATATAAAGATATTTTACCCCAAAGGTGTATAAATTAAATTAAATGAACGCCATCCATACCCTTATCACGAAACACAATCTCAACCGCGATCAGATATATATATATATAATATTATAATCTAATTAATTTTTAATCCATCCGATATCACAAGACATCTCGTTTTCGAATTTAGAGCACGGGGCGAGTTAATTATTCAGGGCCTTGTCACACCGTGTCTGTCTTCAAGAACGGTTCGAGCGGGGAAAAAATTGTGCACTGGATATTGTAGGATGATATGAATATGTACCTTTACAGTCAACTAGATAAAATCTCTTCTCTCTTTCTTTCTTGTTTTCCCCTTTTTTTTTTTTCAATTGTGATTCTCCGGAGATTTTTGGAAATCACACCGAGTCTGGCAGAGCTCAACGTAGCCTTCGGCCGTCCAATTTTTTCGACCCAGGAAAAGTATGGTACGGTATCATACCAGGACAAAAATTGAAAGAAGTCTCAGTCACCGAGTGACCACCCATGACCACCCTCTTACGAAGACACTAACTTAAAGTCCAGGCATCAAAAACCCGCCGGCCAGTATCGATATCCCGTCGATACGGTAATTCTACCCCGTATTACGTGAACACATCTGGCTTTGGACATAAACTAACAGGCTCGTCCGAGCACAATACATCCAGCTATCACAGATCTGAAACACAGAATAATAAAAACCAAAGGACCAAAATTAAACATTTCACAAATATTATTCCCCTACACCCAATCCTTCCTTCACCCTTCGCATCCGTGGCTAAATCGAAACGCAAACAAAACTATACCCCATCTAACATTTTTTTTTTCGAAAAAAGGCCAATTTTTAATAACACCCCCTCCCCTTCCCCTAAACCATGCCATACAAAATACTAAAAATCGCTGTCCCTCTCTCCATCACCATCTCAAAGGCGCGCTCGACAGGGCAATTCATATGATATGTATCCTCTCCTTCATTCCATCTCTCTTTCCCCCTCCCCCCTTTCCGCCCACTCTTCCCTCGTGCCCTGATCGCCTAATCGCATGAAATTAATTATTCACGGATGGGAACGTGGGTATAATAGGTGGGAGAAAACGCACACACACGCACAAGAAACAACAGGGGGTAGAAAAAAAAAATACACTCAATGTGGGGAGTTAACAATGAAAGCAGGAGGGAAATAGTAAGAAAGAGAAGAGGGGAAAAAGAAAAAGAAAAGTATTTTATCTTTGCCTGTAGCCAACCCAACCAACACCACCCAAGAATGCCCCATCCGAATCCGTGCTTTTTTCCCCATTTCAGTTCATCATACCCGTACAGCCGTTATATTCCATTGCACAATTAAGGTTTCTGTTTGTTTTTTTGCTCGTTTTTTGCTTTCCGTTTTTTTTATCACCCGCTCCCAACAACCCAACTCCAAACCCTGCTAAAAGCAACCCTCCTTTTATCCAATTACCGGAAAAAGAAAAAAAATACTCCCGATCGTCTTGTACAAAGGTAAACTACTTTGAACTTATGCACCGGGAGAGCGCCCACCCCCATTGATCTCCTTCCTCCTGGAATCATCGAGACCAAGTCCGCCAAGTCCCCCAGAGAGGAATGAAAATGCCTGATCATCGGGTAGCCCTGCATATAATCCATTGGGCCCATTTCCACCAGATGAGAAAGCTTGCTCGGCCCTCTGATCAAAAGGACCGGCAGAATTGGGTCCAATTCCAGGACCCAAAGACGTATTCAGTGGAGGAAAAGCACCCCCAAGACCGGAAGGCAACCCAAAATTGCTAGGCTGACCGCCGAATTGCTGGCTATGGAAACCGCCTCCCCCAAGCTGACCTCCAACAGGCCCCGCCCCACCCCCAAGACCCTGTCCTGGTCCCAATCCAAACCCTCCTCCATAAGACGTGGATCCATCCATAGGCGATGGAAACGGCGTTTCGGCAACCGCTGCACCAGCACGACCTGCACCACATCTCAAGCAACTAACATTCTTGGCAAAATTGTGGTAACCACAACCATCAGAACCGCACTTCCAGTCCCCCGCTCTAAAAGGCACCGCCCCACCGCTGCCCGGCATGGCCCTGGCTGGCAGTCCATGCCCCGCTCCATGTCCCATAGCTGGAGGTTGAGGAGGAACCATGTTCTGGGAGTAGCCGGAGTAGCCAAACATGGTATCGGGGCCCGGCCCGGCGGGAACGGCAGGAAACGAGCACCGGAAACAAGCAGTCCTACGCTGGAAGTTGGAAAACCCGCAGGACGGGCAGGTCCAGTCTCCCGGCCTAGGTCTGTTTTTACTTGGAGGGAACGGTGTGAGGATCTCTGCTGCTCTATCAAGCACCCGGCTGCTGCTAGGAGAAACTTCAATCGCCTTCTCATTCAACGCTCGTCCATTCATGCAAAGACTCTCGGCGGCCTGCACATAATAAATGATTAGCCAACGCTAGAAACACAAAAAACCAAGCCGGGGGTAAAAAAAACTACCTCTTCATGGGACGAAAACACAGCAAACCCAGTACCCGTTGGCTTGTGTTGGTCCGGGGTCCTGAGTGTCCAAAAGGCAATCGGACGACCGCCATACTGAGTAAACCAGCTTTCCAACTCAGATTGTGTGGTATCATGCGGCAATCCGCTCATATGAAGGACTTTACTCCTCTCGCTCAGAAAAGCCCTGACATCAGCTCTGGCGTCCATGGGCCTTGCTAGCACATCAGGGTGCTGTTCCGGGGGCTGGGATTTCTTGATCAATCCGCGCAGAACCCTTGCCAGCGTGATAGCCTCTTCCATGGCTCTGCGAGGGGAAGCGGGTGCCAGGGCCTGGAGGTGGAAGGGCAAATTGTGCTTTATCGGAGCCGATGATTGAACAGGCTCAACCTCGAGGGCGGCACAGATATTAGCCAGAGAGGATGGACCAAAGGGCAAAGACTCCGGATGATGTGATTGCCACCGGGTATATTCGGTCCTCAGGTCAAAAGTCCTGGAATGTTGTAGATACGGGGGCAAAACAACAGCCTTATCCCTGGCTTCGCGAGGCAACTGAACTCGGAGATCCCAAGCATCCAAGGTCACGAAGGTAAAGTCTAATTGCTGCGATATCAGGAATTCCTGTGCAAAGGTGTCAAACCGATTGACGGCATCTCTAAACGATCCGGCAGTCCGCACGTGTTCCCACGTAAGCGTGGTAAGGCTTGCTGCATTAGAAGACCATTAGCGGAAGCTCGGAAAGAGGAATCCGATATCAGGGAGGGTGGAAGGAGCTTCGTACTGCATAGCGGAGTGATGGGAGTGTTGACTGGCCTCACAAGAACACTCTCCCTGTGCATCTAACCACCGTCAAATGGATCAGTAGAGGAACCTCGGAAACGAACAGACACATCAGAGCTTCAAACCTCCTCGAGAGACTTTGCATTCAGGAGAATCCAACCGATTTCAATGACCTCCGCAGAATCCTTAGTCACATAGACACCGTGCTCATCGCAAGTAGTGGCCACATGGATAACCACATAGCGATCCATGATAGATCCCTAACGACAATCCAAATGTGGTTTGACCAAGAGCTCCGGGAGGTTCTGGCTGTTTGTACTTTTGAAACAGGCGAAAAGTGAGGTGTTGATGGTTCGCCGTTGCACTCGAATAACCGCAGGTTAAAAACAAAAAAAAGGGTTGAAAGGTTGAGGGGATAGGGCAAAAAGGTGAAATAGAGGCTCTCCCAAGGATAATAATGCAAAAAAGAGAGCAACCTCCGTGAACAAGAAAGGGAAAGGGGGGGCGGAGAGAGCGTGAGGAAGGGGGGGAGAGAGGGCTCAAGGTGGAAGAGGGAGGCGAGGTGGATAGGATTGGGGGAGGGGGTTAGTTGTGAGAGTGGTGGTGGTGGTGGTGGTGGTGGTTGAGGAGGGATGGGATGGATGGATGGAGGAGGTGAAGTGTGTCTGATCCAGTGACGCGGATACCAAGAGAGGAAAGGAAAAGAAAAATAAGATTATTCTGGCTGCACGAAGGGCAGACAGCAAAGCCGAAGATGCAGGCGAGACAACGAACAGGAGGGAAAAAAGGGCCTTCCGTTTTCTCGCCCTCCCCGCCGCTATGACTTCCCTCTCCCGCCTAACCTCACACCCAGGTTACTTGATGAGAATGAGTATCTTTTTTCCTCCCTTCGTACAATACGATAATGCCGGTAGCTTTCCTCTCCATCCCCAATCTTCTCCCCAATTTCAATCATGCTCCTATCAAGGAGTTGGCGGAATTTTTTCTCCCAAAGCTTGGCACACAACCCTAACGAACAAGCACGCGGGATGGGCCGAGAAAGAGGTGCTGCTGCTTCCATGCTCCTCGCCATCCTGTTGCTCAAAGGAATCACACACTAGAAAAGGTCACCGCAGAGTCGCAGATGCAGCAGCACCATCGGCCAAGCTACAACCATCATCGTCGTCAAAACCTTTCCATTGGTTATCCAGGGAAATTCAACTAGAAAACCTCCACCCTCCCCAACCATCGCGAGTATGCCATGATGCCAGGATCTTTTGTCAACACTTTGCCCGGATAGCACAAAATACATAAATACCCCCCCGCCGCCAGCTCATTCCCCCAACCCCCTTTTCCATAATCCGTGCCGGCATTGGTGCTGGCTAGCAATGTGTTGTGCTCGAGCTCGGTCTGTGCTCCCGGATAACCGACTACCGGCACCTGATTCATGGGGCGCTGGGCGGTCCGAAATGCACAAGCAGTCTCGGTGCTATCGGAAGGAACCCATATGCAGATAAAGGCCCCCCCGCACATAACCTTCAAACCTCTGGGCTGAGCTTTGAACTGTTGAAAAGGGTCCTTGGCGCAAAACCCTATCGCAACCGTTGCTACGAGAGCTCTACGAGTAGATGAGCTAACCATCACCGTCTCCCACAACTGCAAGCTTCCTCCGAGACAGTTGACCATGATAGAATATTCTTGCCGGCACTCGTCTTACCCGTGAGAGAGAGAGAGAGAGAGAGCCGCTTTCACAGGGTTTTCCTGGTGTCGGATTAATGCGGGTTGAGATATTCCGCCCATAAGATGCTGGGCCCGTTTCAGAGCCGTGACCTAATTCGAGATGCCTTGGGCGCGGGGGAGCTGGAGATAGCCAACTAACCAGGTTGGGCATTCAAATGATGGCATCTCTGGATGCGCTTGTCTGGTATTCACCCAGCACAGATGTCCTGCTTTCCTTGTGACCCCCCCACCTCCGACAAGGCCCGCCGCGAGTCTAGCACGACACAGTAGTGAACTTCCGTCAGCGCTACCAGCACCGCCGGAAGCTACGCTGAACACTCGCAGTATTATAACGAACACTCACAACCAAGTCCTTGGCAAATTTTATCGGACGAACGGCACCACACTGCATGCGACCATGCGCCTCGGGGCAGCATTGCTACAGAAGAAACCCATTATTCACTACAATTCGAACCGTGGCCACAGATCGCGTCGGGATATGTATTTCTGGACCCCCTTATCCCGCAGCACCCCGCAGAGTTGGCCATACGTCCAAAGCCTCGAGCTTCTGCATACGCGCAAAGGGGGCATGTCAACGATCCTAATGCGATGGCCAGAACCGCTGAGCGCCCCCCAAGGGACATCTCCCCTTCTCGAATACCGATGGGTGAGTACGGTGAAGTCACCCAGACCAGAAACGGCAGAGCCCGCCCTAGGTGTTATATCAAACGCTAAAGGGCTTGGGTTACGTGGCAGAAGCTCAACCCACGTATACGATCCACGCGAGCCATGCGCAGCCCACGAAAATCAAGGCCACAAATAGAAGTCAATCCCCTTCAATGTTGACATGATGGAGGGGAATAGTCTCCTGTTTTCAAGGACGGCGTCACAGTCTAATAGTGTGACGGGGGCACAGTTCAAGTATCATTGAAGAGTCCTACCTCAAGGGTGCCGACCCCACGGGCCACCACCGATGAGGCGAAAAGCGGTCCGTAACACCCCCGTAAACAATTGAACCAGAACCCCCACCAAAGCCCTCCCAAAGGGAGATATTTGCAACAATTCTTGGCATCACCCCGGATCATCACCGTCAAGTTACTCCCAAAATACCGGTATTGATAATCACCATTCCCCGCCCCAACAACACCGGTAACACAAGGTTACGGCACTCAGATAACGCCTCCAAACAAACAAACCCTGCATCCCCCTCCTTGTTTCAATGTCTCAGATCTAGCCCCCCCCCATACATTCCGTCATCGGTTCACCGCCACATGACCGGCCGTCCGATTACGTTTCGTCAAGTGCGGTAGAACATTTCAATAGCACAAGTATCCTTTACTTTTTTCACCCTTTATTTTTTTTTCTTCCTCCACGCGAAACCGTTGGTGAAGGAAAGTGGGGTCTCGGGGGGAGAGACGGGGAGAGAGATAATAGGAAGAAACTGCGAAAGACTTGGGCGGAGACCACAGGCCTGAACAAGCTCAAGTAGAGCCGAGCGATATTGCCGGTGTTTAGCACGAGTGACTCACGATACAACATGATACCCCACCAAAATACCAACCCGCAACGCGTACTCGAGTACAATACGATAGATGGAGTGTGCACACCGGGTGGTGCTTACGGGGCATACCGATGACTGATCCATGGTAGCTAGCTGGCATTCACTTACTGTCGGAACTTGTGATACCCAGACTCTTGTACTCGGGTACAGGCACAGTACAAGTACAGGCGCATCATAATAGGAAACTGCACGTTCCAGGAGGAAAAGTAAAAATAAAATAAAAGATACGGGATGGGAAAAAGCAAGACACCATCATGCCGAAGTGTATTTGCATCGTTCCACCGGCTGGCGCAAGCCACATCGATGGTTGTAAGCAGCAAAGGACTTGACAGATAAGGTTGACCTTTTCCTCCTTGTGGGGAGGTCAAGAGGTCGGTAAGTGTGGTAAGAGGCCACATCAAACTTTTACTGGAACTCGGAACATTCCAGGACACCAGAACGAAACCCCAAAATATGATATATCAGACTTGGAGAGCAATCGCCTACCTTCTCCAGCAACACGGTAACCCCTTAACCTTGGCTCTTTGTTAACGCACTCGAGTACAGAGTCTCCACAGTATTGGTACGGTACGAGTACAGTACTCTGAGGTCTTGATTAACCTTGATACCGGTAAATTTACTTTATCCTTGTTTACCTTGGCGCATTCAAACATGCTACCCAAAATGCATGGCCAACTATTGGCCAACGCCATACGGTACGAGTAGAGCAACCTAATGCAACTTGACTTCCTTTGTTTACTCATGACTGAAAGTACTTGTACTGCACCTTCAATAATACTGTAATCTGACTTACTCCATCCCCCACGCTCCCCATCGATAAACCCTCCCAGCGGCCACGGATCCAGACCCCGCGAGCTGATAATCAAAATATCGAAACCTCACCACTAGACGCCCGGTAGGTGGATTGGTCCAGGCAGCCCGCGACACGGCGGGGGGCTTTTGTAATATCCTACCGGTGTTATACCTTGCTTTCGCTCGAACGCATTGAGTGGGATCTATACACGGAAGCAGCAGGAGCAGGCCAAAGTGTGGACCTATCCATCGCATTACACACGGTATGCATGATCTCCACGCAATTCCTTTTGGTTATGAGTGGATGGATGCATTGGTGATGGGTAAGCTTGGGGAGGTCTCGATGCGATGGATGGGTGGATGGCTTAGTAATGGGATTGGGGCTTTCTCAGCATGAGTACTGTACTCGTACAAGTATGGTACAGTACGGCCAAGCCTGGCTCTGCTTCGTTTTTCTTTTTATGCTGGGGATTGGGCAGGAAGAGGCGTGGAAAGCAGTATGGAAGGATCCCATGTGCGGTCACATCCTGAAAAGGTGTGATTCCGGTAAACGGAAGGAGCTGTCAGAGGGTCAATCAGTACTGTGATGCACAGTTGGGTTTGACATGATTGGCCAACTATCAATTCGACTGCAGCTGGAGCAGGAACTGGAATATGATAGTCTGCTGGCATTATGATAGGGCGCTTCTTCCCTTCCCTTCCCTTCCCTCCTTTCCCCCCCTTCTCTCCACGCCCTTTTCATGATCCTGCCCTTCTTTCCCCAAATACCGGTATACCTTACAGTGTGATATCATATCATACTTCCGATAGAGTTAAAAAAAACCCCCCCCGGAAACCAGGGGACGATACAGTCAAAAACAATTGAAAAAAGAAGGCTCTGACGACGAGAGCCATCGCCCCTCGAAAAGGCTTGGAAATTTGGGGAAAAAGTCTCTGGATGATTAAGACGCTTCCAACTACTCGAGTACGGTGATCTTCAACCTCACCAGCGTTTTGGGGGTTATCCGGGTTCTGATTCCCGCCGGGAGTGCACTATGCCCTTTCCATCATCTCCCGCCCTGATCACCTCCCTTCCCGCCTGTACAACCAACCAACCTCCTGATACCGTAATCCCCATTCTCCTCCTCGCCTAGCTGTCCGTTCATACTTGTACATAATATAGAACCTACGTCTTTTTTTCTTTTTTTTCCCTTCCTTTCCCTTCCTCTCCTGCCCGGACTTAACCCTTTGACATTCCCCTCCCCCCCCCCCCCCCACTACTGCATCCCCTCCCTGCACCTGCATACGCGATTGCACATGAAGGATTTGACACGCTGCATAATGCGCTTCCTCAAACATCTCGTAAAGCCTCCAAGGGGGGCAGCTTTGCGCACAAGACATTTCCGCTCCTTGTCCGGGACCAGCCCATTGAACGACGAGGACCGGACCCACAGCAAGGACAGGGGGGAGGGACACAGCAGGAAGGGCAGTCGGGGCGGGAGATACCAGTCATCGCACGCCTCACCATACACCGACCTTCACGCCTCATCCGCTTCGAAAGCTCCGGCAGAAGTCCTCATGACAATATTCTCCTTCGTCTGCCCACATGCCCTCGACGAGACTTACCTCTCTGCGGAAGAGTCGGCAATTGAGCTAGGGTGCATGCTATGCGACATGCGGGAGCTCTCCCATTGCGCCCTTGTCTGTCGCTCATGGCACGGCGCCGCACAATTGCTGCAGTACCGCAGCATCCGACTGGACAGCGTGCACTACTGCGGTTTGGAGGAGGAACTGCAAGTGCGAAGGAAGCGGGGCTCCCTCTTTCAGAAGCAGACCTCCCTGCTCGAAGTCCCGGAGCGCAGGATGCGACTGCTCTATCGAACCTTCCAGGAGAATGAGGCCACGGCTACGCTCACAGAGTTTTTGAAAATACCCTACATGACCCGGGAGACGTGCAAGCAGGACTTGGCGCCGCTTGTGTCACTGTTACCGAATTTGAGATATGTGGATTTGCCGGAAGGGGTTTACCAGGACGATCCTTCCTGCGCTTCCTTGAAGGCTATACTCTACACCCGGTGTCCCGACTTACGGAAGATGAGTTGGGCCGGGGGTTCCGAGAAGGGTTTTGTCCATCTGTGGATTGAACCTCCGTGGCTGTGCCTCCAAGTTGTCGAGCTCACGGATATGAGAGTCGAGAACCAGGACCTGGTCCGGGTGCTCTCCTCCATGCCATACCTCACCAACCTAAAAATAAAGTCCATGCCATGGACCACAGACGCAATCTTCGACTCCACAGCCACCGACGCTGGCCCCCTCCCTGCTCTGCAGACACTCACCATCGAGGACACTCCATCCATCACCATCGCTGGCCTAACAGCCTACCTCGCCCGCCCCGTCGCTTCGGAGACCCTGGAAACACTGACGATAACAAACACCCCCATCCCCGTCCACTCCTTGCACCAAATACTCCCGCTGGCAACACGCCTAACCTCGCTCTCCATCCGCGCACAAGTCTCACGCACGATCTCGCGCCAAGACGTACCGCTCCTGGCCTCCGCATCGTTAACTCACCTCGCCTACGACATCACCGACGATGACACATCCGCTAAATCGCTTGCAAAACCCTCCCCTTCGTACTACGCATATCTCTCGGAATCCCTCTGGGACGGCGGAATGCCAGAGCTGAAAACCCTCTACGTCCGCGAACCCGCATTTCCCGCGCGCCTTCAGAACGATAAAGCCTCCGCGAGGGCATCCGCTGCGACGGGCTGGAAACGGGGATTGTACTTGCACACCAAGGGAATGGAACACTTGGAATGGACAAAGTATAGCGTTAGAGGCGTCGGCAGGGGTTTACTGGTCCTGCCGACCCCTGGAGGAGGAGGGGCTTGTTCACGTGCTAGCTTTTTCGCGGACCCTGGCGACGGAAACGGAGGTGGGAAGGGTAGGGCGAGCTTTCCCGGCATGCCCGGTGATGCGGAGGAGCACACGCCCGGCAAGCGGGAAAGGAGGAAGAGTCGGGTGGATTTGTGGAGGTGATTGGCGCATTTCTTTCGATGGGATGGGTGTATATATAGCTTTCCTGTGGGTTTGACCCCTCATTTTTTTTTTTCATTTTTTTTTTCTTGGAGGGGGCGTATTTATCACTTTTATACCGCGTGGTCCTGGAGGACCACGACCTACCTGCCCTGTGCGGCCGGGCCAGTTTCAGGGTTTCTTCTAGGTTGGGAATAGCCTCTTGTTGGAGAAGTGCAGTGCAATTCTCCCGGGTGCATTCGAATAGCGAATTGGAACTGATGTATTGTTTTTTTTTTTTTTGTTCTCACCCTGATGAGACGAGTGATTATATCATGATTAGTCAGCGATATAGTACCGGTATCACATCTTGTATGATGGCATACCATCCTGCACGGTACGGAATAAACAACAATCATCGTTACTTGTACATCCATTAAGCTGTACGGGTACCTTTGGCACGATCCAACCATACCATACCATACCATACCATACCATACCATACCATACCATACCATACCATACCACAAACCCCCAAGTCTCCACATCGAGGATACCATACATGCATACATGACAAATACGGTAAGTTAGGTCAGTCCAGCACGATACTGCGCGTACTGTACAGTACCTCGCGGACAAAGTTGTGATAGTCTGTCTGTCAGTTTGTTGACAGAGCACGGTTGGCCACAGGTTATGGTACAAGTACGAACGGTACCGGTAGACTAACTAAGCCAACTTGATAATAGTGCGTATAGACTAATGGATGAATAAATCTGTCTGCTCACCCGTGCTCCTCAGACAAGGTTTAGCCATCACCCCGTTCGTTTGTACTGGTTAGTGGCGCAGATTTCTTCTCTGGTGAAGGGGCAAAATTGTAATGGTACAGTAGTACTGTATAGTGGTTCAATGGGATAAGTTTAATCCGGGACCGTCACCGAACTGGTGTCGTAATATTGTAAAGTTTTATTATAGTCGGATCCCACGGCAACTCGAACGAAAAACAAAAAAAAAGCAAAACAGCACTGATACCGACGGGATCACGGGCACTCGGGCCCGTCAAGTAGCTTCCTGTCTCGCAACCAACCCCTCCACCCACTACTTAATTTACTATCCTATCCGCCTGCAAGACATAAATTGGTCCACCCAACGACGAAAAGCTCCGTACTCGGACTGTACAAATCATCCCAACAAGATCCTCCAGTAAGCTAGTGCGAGGAGGGTATGGGAATCTAACTAACTCTTCAGAGGAAAACAGGTCATGCCGTGATCTTGATACCAGTGAACTTTGGTAAATTTGGGGCAACTCCGTTCACTGACTTTTTCCCTCCGATGGTTAGGCCTCTGCGCTTGTTCCGCACTGCTAAGAAACTGTTCCCGGAAGAGCTGGGGGTCGCGAGCTTGGACTAATGGGGTGCCAAATCTTGGCTGGGAAGCGCGGGTATCCGCCCATCTATGGGTACCCACGATACAGCAAGTTCCTGAAGGGACGGAAGGGGGGGTGGCATCGTGTACTGTACTATACTATTGCGGGCCACTTTGGGTATAGGTAGGTAAGTATGGTATCGTAGGGTAGCTTATATCACGGCTGTTTTTCCGGTGTATGTAGGGTGTGATTATCGTTTCGGGATTTGATCGACGTATTATTGGGTGTGGGGATGTTGCGACTGGTGCTGCGCTGTGCTGTGCTCGTACTTGTGTGCTGTGCTGTACTGGGTGGGGGTGATAAGCTTGTGTTCGAAACTCGGGCACACACACACCGCTTAAGGGTTTGATAGTCGGATAAGGCTTGTATGGGTCGGTTGTCTGGCAGCCATCGTAGGATTTGTAGCCGTCGTATGAGTTATGGCCGTTGTACGGCTTGTAATCGTTGTATGGCTTGTATGGCTTGTAGTAGTTGTACGGCTTGTAGTCGGACGGATAAGGCTTATATGGATCGGTTGTCTTGTGAACGTCGTACGATTTGTGAACGTTGTATGAACGGCTTGTGGTCTGGCGGTTGTAGTTGGACGGCCCGTAGTCAACGGATAGACGAAGGCTTATATGGATCGGTTGTCTTGTGAACGTCGTATGACTTGTGGATGTCGCACGGCTTGTAATCTGACGGCTTGTAGTTTGACGGCTTGTAGTCGGACGGCTTGACAGGGTTTTTCTCGAATTTTGTCAATGCTTTTTTAATCCTGTATGCGCAAGGTATCGGGTATGGGGAAGGTGTAGTGTTCGATTGAATCATGGCCGGGGAAGAAAGAGAAAGAAAAAGTCTAGAGAGAGAAAAAAAAACGCCATTTGTACGGTGCTTTCAAGGCCATTATAGATAATCCCCGCATTTATACACCAATTCTCACTTCTCCGGCGCATCCGGCAACCTCTCGATAACATACTTTCCAGTCCCACAACTCATAATGGGAACACCGGGAATCTTCCTTAACCTCCTTTTCAAATCCCGATCGTTCGTCGCCACGATATATATCCTACCAACCAACCCCTCACATTAGCCCCCTCCTCCTCCGCCCATACAAACAAAGTGGGCTGGAACGAGGGAAAAGAAGAAATAAAAACTCACTTATGTTGCAAAACCCGATTGACAATACAATCATCAGCATACGTCCCCTTATGCTCGCACCTGAGCCTCTCGAACCTAGGATCCTTGGCGATCCGCAGCGCAATCCTATACCTGCTCCCCAACTTTTCCAATTCCGCCATGACGCAATCCGTGATTACGGGCGTGGCTTTCGCGTACAGGCAATCCATCATGGACTGCATCACCTCCAACTTCTTCTGTATGGTGAAGTTCAGGAAGTTTGTGTCCACGAGGACGGAGTAAGGCGGCCGAAGGGCGGTGTTGAATTGGAAGAAGAGGGAGGAGGAGACTTGCGGGCTGTGGACGGGTTAGCCGTTGGTTATGGAGGGGAGGGGGAGGGGAGGGGAGGAAGGGACATTTCGCGGACTACTTCGCTGGATTTGTCTTTTTTTGCGGTGGCGGCTTGTTGCTTTGCTTGGTTCTTTTTGAGACGGGCATCGCGGGAGGAGATTACTCGCTTGACTTGGGCGAATTTGCGGGTTCTTTTGGCGACGCCCATTGTGTTTGTATTGTTGGATTGGGATTCTCGTGGGAGTAGTGCTCTGGTGGTAGTGGTGTAAAGCTAAAAAGTATCAAAGAGGGATCACATTTGAAGTGGGCTGGTATGATAGGTATTATTGGTAGGGTAACTTTCATCACAAACCCGACTAGGCTAGACCCAAGCAGCTACGGGAGGGTACCTTACTGTGCTTGTACGGTATCATGCTGTACGGTAAGCTATCATAATCCTGGCCTTCATGCTGGGTCACCGCTACTGCCAATGATCGAACGACAATTCATTGGGCCTCTGCGCCTCGCCGCGCACAATAACCATAAACGGAATACAGAGGAATACGAGACGGTAGTGCACTTGCACCACACTGTGGGGTACCATAATTGACTCGGTCAACGATATTCTTACAGAGCTCTATAACATGCCATCAAGCACCCATCCAAATCTAACCTGGGCCCAAAAACAAAAATAAAAAAGGAATGAAGGAAAGTAAATGCGGCAACTGCACGGTCCGTGTGTGGTGAATGATTGAAGCCAAAATGAAGGGGGCAAGGAACGATAAATAGGCGCGAGGCCAATAATATATACGGGCAAACCGGAGTCATTGATAATGCCAATGAGGTAAAATTGATACAGGAATAAAAATGAAAAAAAAAAAATGAACGCTACTCGCACCACAGTGGAAACAAAGGGTCGGCCGATCAATAGACTAAGAACTTTTTCTATTCGTCCATGCCATATCACATTAGTGGGATAAAGTGCAAACAATTACTCCCGGTCCCATCCGGGCGAAAACAAAACGCAGATGCAAGGAACAAAGCAACCTATAATACATCTCCTCATCACGACAACTACGAATCAGAGTCCGATGAGTGATAATCCCTATCGATGATCGGTCTGGCGGGTCCCATCTCCTTCTCCCGCTTCTCCAATAGACTACCAGGCACAAAGACGCTCTTGTTGCAAGGATTAAGCAACGGGGTGATTTTGCCATTCTTTCCAATCGCGTCTTTGTATGTAGCGACGCCATGACCGGCCATGACTGCTCCCGCTGACTGATACCCACCCGCAAGAAGGCCGGTGCCCGTGAAGGGGGTCTGATCCTCGTCACCACTCGCCTCGCCATGCCGGGTTCTGCCCTTCGCCGTCTGCGGTCTCTTGAGTTGTGCAAACGGGGGAGGAGCATCGGGAAGGGGGGGTGTCTCAAGAGATGACTTGGCGAAGCTGACAAGGCCTCCACCCTCGCGTGCGTTCTTCTCCGAGATGGTGTGCCCTCTGCTGCGATGACGATGGGGTAGCGACGGCACAGGCTCCCCCTCGTCAAAATTAAGTAGGGTGCCCCCTTGCTTGTGAGAAGTGGATGGTCTTGAAGCCACTGTTTCTCTGCGTCTAAGGGATTTGGTTTCCTTGGGAGAAGTATCCAAGGATACAAGTGGGTGTGTGGGATCGCGAGGAGTGAAATTCCGAGCTTTGGGTGATTGAGGGGTCAGCAGACCGGAAAACTCGTTATGAGGTTTCGCAAGCTCCTCTTTGTAGTTAAGTTGAGCAACACGCTTCTTGTCCTCATAATCCGAACCCAGTAGACCGCCGGGCGAAAACACCGCTTCCCCATCCGAGACACTTCCACAAACTTGCGGGGACCTGCCAGAAGCACTCCTTTCCTTCCTAGAGGGCTTCCTGGTAGACTTGGCGCTATACAGTGACTTGGGCTTCTGAACATCGGAAGGTGGTTGAGCGAGCTCCTCTAGGGAAATCAGAGGCCCGGGCTTGCGCCTGCCCCCGAGACTACCAGAAGAGGTACTTTGATGAGTGATGGATAGCTCTTCCTTGACCTCTGGCTCAGCTGTCCAAGGAGCAATTGAAAACTTCTCCGCGATCAATCGAGCCTTTGAATCCCTAATCATCGCGAACCATTGACTCAATTGCGATGCACTCTCGGCAGAAAAATAGTGGCAGTAAACCGAATCCTTCCCGAACAAGCTCATCTTATGCTGTGATTTCAGCGCAAAACAGTACTTTGTGGGACATTTCAGTTTACTCTCCGGAGAAAAAGCGTTGGCAAAGCTGTAAATATCAAACGAATCGAGGTTGATGGTCTGGGTAAAGTCCTTCTCGCTCGGCTTATCCTTCTTGGAAATCTTGATGGCTCCGCCGTCCAATCTGATCCAACGCTTTGACCACTTTCTATCGGCCTGAACATAGTAGTGGAACCGAGCCACTCCACTGGAAGGCTCTTCCGCTGCATAATTTTCGAGACGCTCGCTGGTCTGACCCCAGGCATTCTTCTCGATGCGAAAATGGCACTTTGTTTCAATTTCCCACGTATTGTGGACATCGCTCAGCTTCTCGAAATACCGAACCTGACGTTGTAATCCAAAGATCGGCCAGCTCTCAACAACGATCCGCTGTTTCCCAGGCCTCACGTGCGAGAGAAAGGATTCGACATCAGTGGAGTCGAGGATGCCGACCGGTTCCGTGCCTCCCGAGGAATTGACTGGGACCTTCCTGTCATAGTTCTGCACCTAGGGTACATTAGCGCCATGTCCAATTCAATGTCACGCAACCCCACAAAGCAGATCTCTTTGGGAAAGGAACTTGCGTCAACACCAAATGACAAGCCAGAAGATGGCTGAAACTTGCAAATGTATAGGCCGAGTGAGTGGGGAGAAAAAAACCTATCCTCACCAGATTCTCTCCACGACGGGCCGCACCTCCAGCTTCCTCCTCCGTAGAGGACTCGCCCATAGCCCCGGCAGGCTTCCCCCTTCTCCTCCCAAGCTTGGAAGCCGTCTTTTGATTGGGGTGCGACGGCTTCATGAGCTTACCACCGTGTGGGGTGGTGGTTGCTGTAGAGGGAATGGGTGGAACGGGAGTAGGAGGCACATCTTTTGTGTTCAGCCGTAGAATCTTCCTAAACTTGGAAGGGTTTCGAGCAAGGGGCTGTTCAACAACCGGCCTCGGAGACTCAATCGAATTAATCAGGGGGGCAGCTACCGGTTTCGGTGGTGATTGGTGTCGCGATTGCTGCTGTCGCTGCAGCGCTGGTGGTGGTGGTGGTGGTGGTGGTGGTGGTGGTTGAGAATTGCCCGAACGGTGCACGAGTTTCCTCCGAATCGTGCGGTAACGAGACGGTGGTGCGCTCTGAGGGTTTTCCGCTTGCATCGCCGCGGAGGGGGACCCCTCCCGGAAGGGAACTTGAAGGTAGTGGAGTTGGGGTTAAAGATGAAGAGATCCAGTTTGCTTAATCGAAACGGGCGAAAATAACGAGCAAGAAACGGGAATAAGGCAAAGGCGGGCTAAGAATGCTCGAAGGAGGGAGGGGAAGGATTTCTCGAAAAAGAAGGGGCGCACGGGAGTATTAAATATTTTCCTGGTCTCGAGCGCTGGTTCCTGGCAGCGGATCGACTGGCAGCTACAAGTACCGGTACGGTAGTCCTCACGTGTGGGGTGCAGGGGATGAAGAGGCAAGAGAGTTACCGGTATTGGGGGTGAAGGGAGGGTGTGCGAAAAGAGATGGGTGCGAGCAGCCCCTAGTCTAAGCACCACAAGCGCCAGCTACCGTGAACAGACCCGTATGATACTCGTACAGTACGAGTACAGTGCGTCCCCGTACAGTACCGCGAACCATCCTCCATAACTCACGGGTGACGAAGAAGAGGGTACGACCTTCCTTCGATAGGGTCGATCACAATATTGTTATTATTATCACCTTTATCATATGTATCATTCACCTCATTCACCTTTTTTTACCATGACCGCAGCAGCTGGCCGCCCCGGCCGTACCGGATATCACCCCCGAATATGCCCGCTGCGTGTCTCACGGCACAATTACTCGTGAGTCGTGACACACTTTAGCCTCCTCCATCGAAGGCTCCAAGCGAACCCAGCAACAACACGCCCGCGATAAGATTCACCACAAATCCTCCAACTCGAATTCTGCCAACGAGTGGAACATATTCATCGCGAGCATGACACCGCACAAAAAAAAGAAAAGCGCAAGCACGAAAGAACCATCACAACCCTCAGCCCAACCCAATCCCGATCCCAGGGCAGAAAAGAAAAAAGAAAACCTTTTATCAATCGACGCCAACAAAGGGTACCCGGTATTTGAATGGATAGCGGTATCCTTACGGTACAACCAATGCCCTGAAACGACCTCCCCCTTTCAAATATAACCCCTGCCCCGGCCCATAGACTCCAGGCAGACTGCAGCACGGTACGGCATGATGCCGATACTCGAGCACAGGTACGGTATTCGTTCAAGTCACTCGAGTATCCAGCCATGGCACGGTAGGATACAGGTACCATACCGGAATTGTACTAGTACATACCCCATCCGCAAGTACTCGTACTTGTAGAACGAACGGAACAAAAAGAATGAAAGAGAAAACCCACCCACACAACATCACACAGTCGTGACCTGCATCCATCCGGCCGTCCGAATTCGGCTAGAGCTTCCCCACCGTTATCCGTCAGCCGCGGGACCGCCAATTTGACGCGCCCCCACAAACACATTCCATTCCTTCCATTCTCCCCCCCCCCCCACAAGTACAGTACTCGAGTACAGTACGAGTACAAGTACGAGTAATGTGCGGAATCCCGGCGGAGATGAAAAGTAAATAAATAAATGGGTCCACCGCCTATCGATAAACCCCAGGGTCGCTGACTGGAAAGGTGGGGTGCGGTGCGGCGAAAGAAACGTTAATTTCCTTCCTCGGCATTATGCCATCGCAGTATTTATTTATTTATTCATTCAACATGCGGCGTGATACGGTACGGCACTGTACTCGAGTACACACAAATAGTCTATGTATTGTACAAGTACGAGCACGGTACAGTACCGGTATCAACCGCGTCCCCCGCACGATACCGGTATTTCGCGGCACTGCGGTGTACAGTACTAGTACGAGTACCGGTAAAGCAAAGTAAAGCACAAAGCTCCTCCGGACTTTCCACCGATCAGGCACCCGTCAATGCCGGCGCCGCCGGTATTCCTCCGTACGATACTAGTACTGTACCATACCTTACAATGGTATGTATGCATCGTAACTGTTTTTTATTATTATTTCGAATCCGTGCGGTGCAAATTACACTCCGACGCACCTTCTTCCAAGAAATCATCTAACATATGCGCCCGTTTATTACAAGTGTTTGCCTTGCCGGCAAGTAGGAGTAAGGAGAGCACCTCGTTGGCGGTACCGCTAATGACATAATTAAATAAACGCCCGACAATCATAATTATCATGACTTGGAGAATTTTTTTTCTTTTCTCTCCTTCACCCTGTCAAACCAGGATACGGTATACGGTATAGGAAAGTCCTGTACAGTGCTTTTGCCACTCGTATTGTTATAATCACGGTGGCAAGTGGCAACGGACGGCGGAGACGAATCGATCAATCAAATCAATCCAAAGACGAGGAAAGAAAGAAAGAAAGAAAGAAAGAGAAATTACGTTTCAACTCGTGATAAACTTGACGGGTACGATCGATTGATTGGTTGGGCCGGATACAACTCTGCAGGTACCGTATGATTGATTGATCGATTGACGCCCCTCCTGCCAAATCCATTCACCTCGCAGCCGAGTGAGCATCTATGACGGCTGGTTCAATCTCTCCACCTCTCTCGCACTCGCCGGCGAGAAGGGAATTCGTCATTTTCACGTGCCTCTCGATCCGATCCGGTCGACGGAGAGCGCGTCGTCGATTGATTCACATGTTTCCGATAATTACCGGCGTTTGGATAAAGGAAAAAGGAAAGAAAAAAAGAAAAAAAAGGGGATCGTGTGAAATTTCCCATCCGTCCACTACGGGTACACTTGTGTGGTCGTGTTTTTGCCGCTTTTTGACGTGTATTTCTCCCGGAAAGTCTCGGTGTTGTTGGATGGCCGTGTGTGTTATCGTGCGTGTGGTGGGTGGGAATGTGGTCAGCATCACACGAACGGCTCGGGATGAGCGCTGTGTGTCTGTCTCGTTTGTTGTATGATATGATACCGCGCTGCTCTAGCTGGGGGGCTTTCCTTCTTTCTTCCTTTCTTTATTTTCCTTTTCCTCACTTGCATAAGGTGTACTCGAGTACAAGTGCGAGTACTGGTGCTTTACGCAAACTTGACAGCTACGCTGAAGTGCTATGACATGACTGGAGCAAGTGGGGGCAAGGCTTCCGTGTAAGGAGCCACCGGAGCCTGGCGCTTCCGTGGGCACATTGCGATTGCCTCTCGGCCGGTCCCGTTGAACCTAAATTGTTTCTGCAGAGTGATATCCCATGATCCATACAAGGGCGAATCTACTGAGCCATCGGGTATCTAGACTCGGCTTCCCGCCAAATCTAGATACCCGAGAAGCCCATCTGAGGTGGTGCCAATACCAGGAACTGGCCATTCATGAGTGTGTGGCTGGGAAGCAGGGTCCGTGGAGACCTGCGTCTGCATGGGTGGAGACACCGGCGGACATATCACCGGCGGACGGATTATAATACCTGAGTGCTCACAATTCCAGTATCTTGGTTCTCACCCGCTTCCACCCACACTCTAACCTGCCAGATCCCCAGGTGGCGTCTATAGATCTGGCGGCTTGTTTCCCGTGATTGCAGCTGTCTCAGCTCGGGTATAGCTCCACCCGATTGGACATCGCCATATTTTGGAGATTTGTTACATGATATATAGTACCATTTATGTTACCATCTAGGCCTAAATCACTTCTTCACGGTGTATGCCTCCCAGCCTCCGCTCTCCAGTCTCTCAACTTTTGCCATAACCTCGCTCTCCATGTCCGATACGTACTTATCCAGCTTATTTCTAATCTCTCTCCCGAGAGGGCTGTTCTCCGCAGATACTATCCGCAATGCGAGAAGCGCAGCATTTGTTGAATTGTTGATCGCTACAGTGGCTACAGGGACTCCTCTCTATTGTGGGTGTTAGCGGGGAGCAATAGAGAATGGGAAACGGTTACAAACCGGCATCTGGACGATACTGTGCAAGCTGTCTACACCGTCCAGGGTACTCCCTTTGACCGGAACCCCGATGACAGGGAGAGTAACCATGGCGGCGACCATCCCGGGGAGATGCGCAGCGCCACCTGCCCCAGCAATGATAGCCTTCAAGCCGCGGGCTCTTGCGTTCCTTGCAAAGGTTGCCATCCTGTCTGGGGTTCGGTGGGCAGACACGATGGTGACCTCACACTCGACCCCGAACTTCTTGAGAATCTCCGCACCAGCCTTCATTACCGGGAGATCGGAGTCCGAGCCCATGATAATCGAGACAATAGGATCCCGGGCTGAGGGGCATTTGGGGGGAGACGAGTAAGTGGCAGCGAAGGAAACCTTGGCCTGCTCGGCCGGACTCATCTTGTATGCGTCCGCTGCATTAATAAGCGGTTGTATTTGATACTCAGCTTCTGCTATAGATCCTGCTACAACGGTGACGTGTCCCATCTTTCGGCCAATTTTGGCCTGCCCCTTTCCGTATAGGTGGACAGTCGCTCCTTTAATTTCCAGAGCTTTGCGGGCAACGGTATCATAGGAAGGGCCGAGAATATTGAGCATAATGGCATGGGTTGAAGGTGTGGCTAGAGAGGTTGAGTGGGCATGGAGTGGTAGACCAAGGATAGCACGAAGGTGGGCTTCATACTGCGAAGTGGGACATGCATCGATAGTATAATGGCCCGAATTATGTGGTCGGGGAGCGAGCTCATTGATGAGAAGTTCCCCTGAATCCCCGAGTTAATACGAACATTGCCCCAAACCCCGAACCGGGAGACAGCTTACCGTCTTCCAACAAAAACATCTCGACGCCGAAAACGCCAGCACCCCAAAGGCTTTCTACAGCCTTCTCGGCAAGTTTTCTTGCCTTCTCCTGAATCACCCCCGAGACTGGTGCTGGTGCATATACAAGTTTGCAAATGTTCTCTTCATGGACAGTCTCCACAGTTGGATAGCTTATGCACACGCCATCCATTCTCCTGACCACCATCACTGCAAGCTCTTTGGAAAACGATGCCCATTTCTCAGCATATAGTGGTCTGTCCTTCAATGCCTCCAACGCATCTGAAATTGACTCAGGGCCGGAGACCACGTAGTTTCCTCGTCCATCGTAGGCCAGCGTTCGTGATTTGAGCATATAAGGATAGCCGAATTTTCGGCCTATATCTTCCAAACGAGCAGAAGTGTTTGATTCGACCGATAAGGATTCGGCCGTAGCTACACCGTTGGAGGCTAGATGAGATTTCTGCACATATTTGTCCTGAATGGTGCGGATTGTTTTCCACGACGGTTGGACCTAGGTGTCGGATGAAGCCGAATGAGAAATGATACCCAATTGTTTTGTTTTTTTAACCTTACCAAAAAGTGAGTTCTAGGTGGTTTACCTCTACTTTGGAAGATGCTTCCAGCTCCTCCAGGGCCTTGGTGTCCACATGCTCAATCTCAACAGTTAAAACGTCACATTCCTCAGCCAATTTCTGAATCGCTTTAGGGTCGGAAAATGAGCCGTCTATATGTGCGTGGAGAGCGTTGATTTGCTTTGCGGATGATTTGGGAGCATCTAGGATAACTGTTTGGAGGTTGAGGCGGTGAGCTGCCTCGACGAGCATTCGACCAAGCTGTACAGTACATGTTAGCTGCCGGTTAATCCGGTGGCAGAGAAGGAGAAGCAGGAGAAATATTGTAAACAACCTGACCACCCCCGAGAATCCCAACTGTGCGTGAGTCCATCGTGTGTGGTGTGATTGGCGATGCTTATTCGCTGGGCGCGTGGGTAGTGATACAGGTGGGGAATTAGTGGTGCGTAGTTGGGGGTGGGGCTCAACCCTTTTTATTCTTTCTATCAAATTTTTATTTTTATCCTTCTGTTTGTTTCGGTTAAGTGGCCGTTTTGTGTCTTTCTTGTCTGGTCTTATCAGATGGCCAAGCCGGAGAAATGCGTGCTAAGAGATAACTCTAAATCCCTTTGCGTTCTGACCGTGTGCCACGACGGCTTAGTTTAGCAAACGAGATTAGATTAGCCAACCCCCCTTTATGAAACGAGGGAAATAAGTTTTGTTCCGGTACGCTTAGCCGATATCTTTGAGGGTTCAGAAATTGGGGGAGGGAGGGACACTGATATCGCTATCTGCACGACGATAGGGAGTCCTGCTGTATTAGTGAACCCAAGTTTATAATTCCCTCGAAACTTCGAGCCGCATCCCGAAGGGCGGAGGAATTTAGGAAAAATAGCAATGAGGAAAAGGATAAGTACCGGTATGATGTTTCGCTTTAAATGCCCACCGCTGTAAGCAGAATAAACAAAGCCTCAAGGGTAATAACTGAAAAGCATGGCCTGTGCAGGATTTACCCGTGCTTCGGGAAGCTGTATGCGGCAACGAGGGTAGCGCGTGGTGTTCATTACCTGATCTGCAATTGATTAACTTGATTTACGCTTCTTTGCTCGCGAGGGAGAGGGGAGGGGGAAAAAAAAAGGTGCAATATGTCGTTGCACACATTGACACCCGGCACAACGAGTGCTTGCTTGTTTAAAACCACACAATCCGCCAAAGACGAGCTCATACGGAGGTACAGCATCTGAGTTTTGTATATTTCACCAGCAAAGGGTGCTCGGCCAGCAGGGAAAGGCCCCCAATCCATCATGAAAGTTACCAAGTTGCAGTTCTTACCCATACCCGCCGGGCACCTCTTGCCAGTGGAATAAAAAACTTAGGTGCTGTAGTCTATCATACTTCCGTAAAGGATGATCGCTCGCTATGCCGTGTGCTCACGTTGTACAGTACCGGCAAAGAGTGCTCGTACCGAGTCGTACATGCACTTGAGCGGATGGGTGGAACCTTGCTGAATATCACTCTTCCCATCTCCGGCTCTACCGGTATCCCACCAAGAAGCTACAGTATCATCAGAACTGAGCTTGCTCTCTTGTAATTATTGCCACCGAAAGGCAAAGTCTCCGCTACAAGCCGACATGTCGCAACGAAGTGCGATGGTCCCAAATTTCTCACGATGTTCTTGTGCTTTTTTGGACATTGGGTTTGAAGGGTTTTTTTTTCATGGGCGTAACGCCTCATTTTCTGATTGTCAGTATCTTACGATAAGGCACCAATCGTATTGGTGCGGGGCTACCCCAGGGTCGCCATACGAGTAGACTACTCAGCCAAGCGTTTCTCTTATTGGAAACCATTTTTTTGGGAGCGCGCCTGAGACATCAGAGCCCGGAAAGAAGGTGGGGCAATAAGCTAACTGTAGCAGGGCAGCTTGCCGGACAGCACTCGCACTACTGCTATCAAAATGGCTACTTCATGATTCGATTTGATTGTGGTTGTGCAACTGTGAAAATTTGATACGCTTACGAAAAAGAAAAGTGCAGGTTATTTTCCTTTTTCCAAACAAGAAGCGTGATGGATTAGCAGAGCATTCCCAAGGGCTCTTCCGGCGATGATATTAGTCCGGAAATGCTCCATCCAGCCCCTCGGGCGGTCTCGGGAGTGAGCAGACAAGAATCATTTCCCCCCCCCTCTCAAGAAGAGATTAAGGAAGGAAGGGTTTATTTTTAATTTTTTTCTTCTAAGAAAAAGAGCTCTCGGGCATATGATGTATGTACTGTGGAAGTTTACTGTACAGTACGTGTTCGTGCGAACAGAACGAGTGGGGGCAAGAGAAGGCAGAGAGGTATGGCGTGGATGCCAGTGTGATAGGCGTGTAGAGTAGGGAAGCTCAGGGAAGGAGGTGGAGCGGTACGATACCGGTAGCAGATATCATGCCAACATGTGGCAATTTGACTCTAGATTAGCAGCTAACAACACCTTACGGGAAGATACTCAAGCATGATACCGGTAATGTTGTCGTGTCGGTAACCTATCCTGCTCCATGGAAGCGGGTGAGTTATCATAAGTTAACAGAGGTTTCCCAGGCTTTCGTACTATGGGGAGTGTTTGACGTTCCTATTTGACGTCATGCGCCAAGAGGAAATCATTGTCCATCTTTGCTCCCTTGCCTCTCGGAATTCGACTCTTGTTTATTTTATGCTCCATTGATGCCTGTGCTGTCTTTGGGACTGCGATCGCCGAGTAAAATAGCACGAGGGATAAGTTAGCGCGAGGGCAAGAGGAGGAGGGTATGGTTTTGAGGGGAACGAGATTCGTTACGATACCTGCTGGTGGAGGTTGGTCTGGCTAGAGTGAACACCCCGTTTTCGTGTATGATGGAGGTACGGCCGAGCAGGACTGCTGGATGGTTGGTAGGATGGGGAGGTTCAAGGTGGGGACGCTCCCTTTACTTTTGTTTCCTCCCTAGATTCCGGTGCGGAATCCCATTCATCCCACCTCCTTCACCTCCCTCATCCCCCTCTTGCCCTCATCACTCATCTCCCGTCCTTCACCTTGACAAACATCTTCACATCTTCGCCTGCCACACACACCCGCTGCATTCACCACACCACCATCTTTCACCACTACCCGCAACGAGAGGGGTTAAAAAAAAGGAAAAAGGAAAAAAAAGGAGGAACCTATCTCTGCGGGCTGTCCTTCTACCCATATCTTCAGCCTTTTTGTTGCTGCATATTGCCCTGTCAATTTTTGCTACTTTTTCCTAGTGGCTGCTTGCTTGGTACTTGTAAGTCGCGGCTGCCCCCCCATAGCCATTGCCCCCGAAGCATACATCTATATTCCGCTCGTCCCTTTTCCTTTTGGTCACTCCCAGATATTTCAGAAAAGCATTCCCACCGGAAATAAAGTCATATCGCTACACGCAGTTTCGCTGACCTTTCTAGTCTTTCAGAAAAAAAAAGGAAGAAAAAAAAAGAGCAGCGAGGAGTCATTGAGAACACTCACGGTACGAAATGTCTGAGACACCGGAAGGCAGAAGGGATGTCAAGAACCACCTTCTGTTCGAGATTTCTACAGAGGTTGCAAACCGGGGTATGTTGATTCTCATCGTCAATTCCCCGGTGCTATCGGTACTGGTTCTAATCTGAATCGAACTTCACAGTTGGCGGTATCTATTCCGTCATCAAGTCTAAATCGCCCATCACTACTGCAGAGTATGGCGAACGTTATTGCCTGATCGGCCCCCTCAACCGTACTTCCGTGCGTTCTCAAACACCCTCTCGCTCCTCTTCTCCATTTTATCGTTCATTCCCCGTGCCTTGTTCCCCACCGCCCCCATATTGGCATCCATACCCCCCCAAAGAAGCTACCCATTATCCATTATCTCGTCCACTTTGCCCTCCAGCATCACCACTAATATCAGACTACGATGTTCTCACGCAGGCTGCTGTCGAAGTTGAAGCTCTTGAGCCAACCAATCCGGCACTGAAAGCCACCCTCGATGCTATGAGTGATCGGGGAATTCAATGGCTGTATGGTAGATGGCTTATTGACGGTGCCCCAAGAGTGCTCCTTTTTGATACAGGTACTGGGTATAAGCACTTGGACGAATGGAAGGGAGATCTGTGGAGCACTGCGGGGATCCCGTGCCCACCGGGTGATGGCGAAACCAACGAGGCTGTCGTGTTTGGCTACCTGGTTGCCTGGTTCCTTGGAGAGGTATGTGCCCTGTCCGATGCGGGTACCCGATTCGGCTGACCCCCCACAGTTCGTCAGCCACGAGCAATCCCGTGCAGTTATTGCCCATTTCCATGAGTGGCTTGCCGGTGTGGCTCTCCCCCTCTGCCGCAAGCGAAGAATTGATGTTACGACTATCTTTACAACTCATGCTACCTTACTTGGAAGATACTTGTGTGCTGGATCCGTTGATTTCTACAACAACCTTCAGTATTTCGATGTGGATGCTGAAGCGGGCAAGAGAGGAATCTACCACCGTTACTGTATCGAGCGTGCAGCGACCCATTCTTGCGATGTCTTCACCACAGTTTCTCATATCACGGCTTACGAGAGCGAGCACTTGCTCAAACGCAAACCAGATGGAGTCCTGCCCAATGGATTGAATGTTGTCAAGTTTTCTGCGATGCACGAGTTTCAAAATCTTCATGCCCAGTCCAAGGAGAAGATTCATGATTTTATAAGGGGCCATTTCTATGGTCATAACGATTTTGATCTGGAAAATACTCTCTACTTCTTCACGGCCGGGCGTTACGAGTACCGCAATAAGGGGGTTGACATGTTTATTGAATCGCTAGCTCGGTTGAATCACCGTCTGAAGATCTCCGGGTCAAAGACCACCGTTGTTGCGTTCATCATCATGCCAGCTCAGACACACTCCCTGACTGTTGAGGCTTTGAAAGGCCAGGCTGTTATCAAAGCACTACGGGACACTGTGGACAACATTGAGAAGGGAATTGGGAAGAGGTTATTTGAACGTGCACTGAGGTGGCATGATGGAGAACAAGTTCCAGCTGAGAAGGATCTTATGAGCAATCAAGAAAAGGTCATGCTAAAGCGACGGGTGTATGCTTTGAAGCGAAATTCTCTTCCACCGATTGTTACGCATAACATGGTGAGAGATGGGGTACCCTCAATTATTTCGTTGCGATGTTGCCTCAAGAAGGTATCATATACTGACCGTTTTGTGTTGCTTTAGATTGATGACCAAGCCGATCCTATCCTTAACCAAATCCGGAGGGTGCAGCTATTCAATCATCCCTCCGATCGAGTTAAGATTATTTTCCATCCTGAATTTTTGAATTCGTCGAACCCAGTTTTGTCGCTCGACTACGATGACTTTGTTCGCGGGACCCACCTTGGTGTTTTTGCATCCTACTACGAGCCTTGGGTGAGCTGAGCATCTCTAGTTAGGATTGAGGCGAGCACTGATTATTGCAACGTAGGGCTATACTCCTGCTGAATGCACCGTTATGGGTGTCCCATCGATTACGACCAACCTTTCCGGTTTTGGGTGTTATATGGAAGAATTGATTGAAAACGCATCTGACTATGGTATCTACATTGTGGACCGCCGAATGAAGGGAGTCGATGACAGCGTCAACCAGCTTTGCCAGTTCATGTATGATTTTACTGTTAAAAGCAGGAGACAAAGGATCAACCAAAGGAATAGGACCGAGCGATTAAGCGATCTCTTGGACTGGAAGAGAATGGGCATGGAATATGTTAAGGCAAGGCAGTTGGCCTTGAGAAGAGGTAGCTCGCTCCGCCTTGTGGTAGCCGCAGCTGGACTAATAACCGATTTTAGCCTACCCCGGTTCGTTCGATTCTAAGGAACCATTCCCATTCTTTGATGGTACGGAGCAAAAGGTTTCACGTCCCTTGTCTGCTCCTGGTTCTCCGAGAGACCGCTCCGGCATGATGACTCCTGGAGATTTCCCGTCCTTACAGGAGGGAATGGAAGGGCTGAATACAGATGACTATGTTAGTTGGAGATTGCCGTAAGTGCCGAAACCTCTGATCTGGGGGGAAAAGCCCTATGTTAACACACTCGGGGATATCTAGTGAGGAAGAGGATCCAGATGATTACCACTTCCCCTTGACCCTCAGAACGCCTCTTACGAAGAGGCAACAACCATCCGTTAATGGCGAACAGAACAGCTAGGATGGGAAACTCTTGTAGCGCATTGTTGGCAGGTGGAGAGGCAGAGTGAGCAATGGGACCAGAAAAGAAAGCCAGGTTAGCATTCGAGAATACCGTCTTTTACCGCACTGCTTCTATGGGTATTGGTCGAGGCGGGTTGGAAAGGCGGTACCATTCCCTGTAATTGTATTTTTAGTGATCAAATGTTTCGTTTGTCAGATACTTCATTGTTTGATATCGGGCATTTTTTTCTCCCCTTCTTTCCTTGATCTCTTTCCTAAAAAAAGACTACTAGATGAACTGCTGTTGGTAGCTGGCAAGTGTGTGCGGATTTGCGGATTATGGTGGATGAAGGGGGATGGTCTGACCACGATACCCTGATACTCCGCAGGACGGGCTTTTTTTTTCTTTCTTTTGGTGGTAATGGATGCAGTACGTACTTAGGCCGAGAGATAATCTACGTACATAAGCGGAGCGACGCGTCTGCGCCTGGGTGGGTGTTATCGTATGGCTGTGTATCCCTTTTGTTGGCTGGTTTCTGTTTGTGCTAGGGTGTTGAGCTATTGTAGTGGGCGTATCGGAGTGATATTTTGTGAATATACATTCTTGAGCGCTAAATAGATATCATAGCTTTTTTGTTTTTTTGTGGGAGGGAATATGGTAGTCTGGGTTAAGGTGTCTGTTCTGCTTTAGAATCCGGGTAGTTTGGGGGTTAGGTATTTTATTGTGCCCATTTTAGAACCAAACCGATTAACCCAGGATCACTCGTTTCTGAGCAGTGTTGAATGTGCATATCAATCACTAGTTGGACCCCGGGATGTCATTTCCCACTGGAACACCATTCCAGGTTCAGGCAAGCAAGATGCTTGTTGTTGGCGAGTATCATGACTATTTTAACCGTAGCAGCTTATAAGGTTGACTTTGGTGGGGAATTCTTTCAGGAAACCACAGATGAGTTTGGTGCCCACCCGTGCCTTGTAGGTCAGGTTGGCACTGGGGATGCCCGATGCGTAAGCTCGCGTAGTATGCTAAATGTATGTTGCGTCAATCGAGAGATATCAAACTCCTCCAACACCACAATCCTTTTAAAAACGTTGACTACACAACAAACATGCACCTGACTTTTTTTTTTTTTTTTTTGCGTCGGGCACAATATCTCTGCTTATCCTGACTGAATCCCTCTGAGGGCGTAAGGGGTTTTATCCTGTCGTGGGGGATTAATCAGTCTTGTTGTGGAGAACCGAGTCCAGACATACCTGAAGAGAGAGTTTTCCGGGACCGTGATGTTAAATTTGGACCGTTAGGCCATAGTCCTGGCATTAAGTGTTGCCGCCTGTTAAGCCTTATGTTATGAGGGTTGGGGGGGAAAGGGGACTTGGAGTTCACAGTTTGGAAGCATGCCGGGTGGGTGTAAACATATTATGATAAAGTGGGTCCATTCCGGGTGGGTATGATATCTCTATGTAGACACCGGATACTGATAGCTGATGGTGAGGTCTCTGCGTTCTCTGGGGGGGCGGTGGAAATAGTCATAACCAAATGGGATATGATATTAGTGACAGGAAAGAAAGAGAGAAGGGGGTTTGGAAGTGCTCACTTGTTTACATGTCATGGGTCGTATGCTTTCGCCCAATGCGCAGACACATAATCCGGTTTTTGTGATAGGACATTGTGTTTGGATTTATGTAGAGTCTGGCATAAGAGAGCTGTGATGGCAAGATAATAGTAATAATTGGGTCCAGTGCTGAGTTACCAGCCAGGGAGGAGTAGAAGTAGTCAAGAACTTTAGAGGATGTCCTTTGTAATATTCTTTTCTGGGGGGGACCTTAGGCTGTTTGGTGGGATCTCCTGGATTTGTTTATTTCTGGTTGTATTAAGGCAAAAGGGTCATGCATATCATCCAAGTAACTAACTAACTTTGAATTGATAAGCAGCAGGCTAGTATTTTGATATTTGATGAAGGATTGAATCTGATCCTCCCACTCCATATGAACCCGTATCTTCCCAACACTCACCTCTGGAACCCTGGTCTGCCTTAATGTAGCAGTTCTGTGCAGGGGTCTTCAAGTGATTTTGTACAAATGCATTTGAAAGTCCTGAGGTACTAGTAGTAACTTCTTTGCATGAGTTAAAAAGAAATCTAAACTGGCACTAATCGTGATTGAAGCGCTATGGATTACCTTGGAATCATCCTAAACGGAACTGAAAGAATAATAGCCAACTTTAACTATAAACAGGTGTGATTGAAAACCAAGTAAAGTATGTACAATCAGAGAATAATATAATTTTAAGCAATTCTTAATATATTAATACTGTTGATTATTATTATTATTTTTAAAGAAGGATCTTTAGGAAATTTTGCACTCAATACTACAGGTGATGGTCATGCCAGTACTCTAGCTAGAATTTTGGAACACTCAATTGTGTAATAGTAGTTTGACTAATTGTAATAACTACCTTAATTTCTATTTAAGTAATCTTTTGCTTAATAAAGTCTAAATTTGGATCCTTTAAGTTGTTATCATATTGTGGCTCAAGTCAAACTTTTGAAAAAAAGGCTTTTTTTTTTTTGGAAGGCTTTTGTGATGCAAGCGGTAAAATTGTGGATTCTCCGCCAGATAGATATATTAGAAGGTTTTATATACTATATCATTCTACTCAGGTATGTTTGAGTAGATGATGCACTCAAAGGTGTACTCTCCATCATATTCTTTCTCTGTCCGTGTTGAGGTTTTTTGGATGATCATCCCGGCGGACTTCACTAAATTTACTATTAACGCCCAATATATACGGAGGTGACAACGATACCGGTGGTATTATAGCTACAAACGCCCCGGCCCTAGCGATCTGAGGAGCTTTTTTCAAACTGAGATATTATCCTCCTCACTCATACTTAGGCCCCTTCCAAGAGGCGAACTCGATTGACCCCTAATGGCCAATTGGTCGTACCAACTAGCTAACCTGCATATGATACATACATACCTACTTCACGAGCGAACTTCCCTCGCTCGATTATGATACATAAAAGTATCCACATTCTCATGTAATATTACCAACAGCCCCTCAATACATTTTTTCTTTTTCTTACCCACCAATATCATCACAACCCCTCACTCGAATCCCTCATTCGGGGTGGCGGATGGGATCGAAATGAACAAAAATTTAAGAAATGATTAACTCGAAGATGAGCCTGGTCCGTGGGAAGTGGCCATTTTACCAAAAAACTGCACATTTTACTGGTGATAGTCTCTCGATTAGGTGCATTTCCTATATACCTATATACATACATATATATAGAGATATCAGATATGTATAGTTTCCACTACCTAATAGTGCCCAAAGTAGGCATACCCCTTTATTGAAGATGCAACTCTTTACTCCTGGAATGGATCCGAATTCTAAGTAGGGCCTTCCTATACCAGCCGGTGAATGGCTAACGCTTGCCATGCACCCCGCGGCTACCAGCGTATCCGGTTGGTGCCCGGCTGTCTCTCGGTGAATGTTGAGAAACTAAAGTGGTAGGTAGTAGCTAGAGCGGTATCGGGACGTGCCATTGAGTGTAGAAGTAGGCGGGCAGATGGTATTGTGAAAGCTACTACCCACTATAAAGCGGCTCGCAAGGACGAGATAAGGATGTGGTAGAGGAGGATCACATACATACCGTTGACCCTTTTTCCAGGGGATAAGGTACCTTCACATATAACCAAGGGCATAGAGTATGGTACAAATTCTATGATATGATATGGCAGTGGTGTCCCACCCGACTTGAGAGTCTTGGGAAGGAAGGAAGCGCTGAACAGTACACATAATGGCATGAATGTGCGTCAATCCACCTCTCGCTAAAAATTCATCACTATTCTAAGCTTCCCAGACTAAAAGGCCTCCTTTGGTCCTATAATTACAATCACACAACCTGCTTCCAAACACCTATCCCGAGCACCCCTCCTCCTCATTACAGACATCCCTACCGTGGCCACCTACTTCTTTGAAATGAGCAGGGAGAGACCTTGTCATTGGCAATTGGTTGTCGACACCCGAAATTTGTCTTCACTTGTTTCCTATGATACCTCCTCAGACCCTCTGGTAGACCTATCATACCTCATCCGGAATACCCTCTCTTTAACGTATCTATCTACCCATCCATCCCCACCAGATAAGCTCTCCCAAGCTGTGAATTCTCATTACTCCTCAGGACCCTGCCCCAGCGCCCTTTTTTTTCTCCATTTCCCATTCCTCCTCCTTCCAATCCCGGAATATGCCTCCCGGAAAGGTATGATAACAAACACATAAGATCCCAGCCCCGTGGCCCTGCGATACGTGCCGTGAGAGAAAGGGGATGGGGGGTGGATGATAAATGGGAATGACTCGATCGGTATGGACATTTTCCATCTTATCATATCATACCGGTACGATAGCACCATCGTGGCTAACGATGCCGGAACAAGTATCATAAGTGGCCCAACTTGAAAAGGGAATTAATTATGAGGCGTGCAAATCACCATAACAACTCAAATCGTATTTACTCATCTGGTGGGTTGTGCGAGTACCTAAAAAGGGCGCGGGGGGGGGGTTCGCTGTTTATCATAGAGGGAGACTTGGACATATGAATCTTTCTGAATACTGCTCTTGTGTGTAGACAAAATACATTGATGTTATTGCCC